TTCTATGGCTTGCAGATAACACATTCGAGACTGCTCTAGGTCTCCACGTATAGTAACTATCTCTCCGTTGCAGGAAAATTTTACCTCTACGTGGTACGTAGACGCCACAGCTCGAAAATTGTTGAGAAGGCGATCGAATACTGCATTGTAGATTGATTGTGCCTTGACTGCCAAGAAATCCTCGATATTGGTGAACTGGTCACTTTCTCCTGAGGTGACTGAGTGCTATTATACCGAGCTCCTCCTTTCTTTCGCCATAAAATCCATACAATGAGCCGCTTGGTGCAGTTAAGTAGTCAATTGTCAAATTCATCTTTTTAAATGCAAACCAGAACAAAATATTCTCTGAGCTACCGATATCAACCAGGATACTCCCCGCCTGATAGTTGTTGATTAACACTAATAACAATGGCGTCATTGTAGGAATTACCTGCTGGAGGAAGATCTAAATCGGTGAAAATGATTGAAGGATGGGGCATCCTTTTGGGGATAAAGTTCTCTGCATAGTAGTTCCCCGATCAATTCCTTTTTTTGGTGGAGTCTTGGGAATGAATCGCCTCCTAAGTTTGTCAGAACTATATCCCTATTATGTGGATAGCATTGGCTCAGGTAGGCCAGCTCGATTCGTCATTTGCATGGGCTTTGCCCTTCCGTCGAGTGTGGGCCTCCAGGGCTACAAACTACTTGAGCTTCCTGACCCGAATTAGTCCTCCACCAGGCAACAGAGGTGCCAAAATTTTTCTATATTTTGCTCATGGCCTTTGTGATACTTGTAATATTTGTTAGGATTCTAGAGGGGAACTCCGGCTTTCATCGGGGTCGCTTTTCGGAAACTCTTGATCTTCTATTACGTCTACGAGTTCCGCCATCAAAATTTTCAGTAGCGTAGGCCTGGAACGGTCATTGGATCGACTGCATCAGTGTCCATTTTGTTCATCTTCTTTGTTTCTTCGGGCTGAGCGGCGTCTTTCAATTTTTTGACGAGGGCCATCCTTCTCCCTCCATCCATCATCTCTTGAGTTCTTGTTGCCCAGCTGTTGATCTGATTTCTCACCTTTTGAAATTGGCCGGTTCATGTATTTCTCGGCTATTTCTTGGGTGCAATGTGATCATTAGCCAACTCCAAGAGTTCGGCCAATGTTTCGGGTTTCCACAAACCCAAAATATACCTAACTGTATGTAGACTCTTCAGTCCTTGAGCTAAGGCTGCTTTGGCAACTGTTGGCTCTAGCTTCCGCACCTCAAACAACTCCTTCTAGAATCTCGTAACATATGATCGCAAGCTCTCGTTAGGTCCCTATTTCACATACCACAAATAATCTTAATCTCTTTTAGTGCGATCCATCGGATCTTCTCGAGATTTGTGCAGATATATTAATGATGTACCACTTTAATTACGGATTTGCTGCTGCTGCTGCATTTCCTAGATATTCTTTGTGCCAAATATCGCTGACCGTGCCACAAAGGCTGTGCATGTTATACTGGCATTTCTATAGCATACAACAACAAAGCCATTCTTGGCTTGAGTTTCGAATCCAAAACTGTGCCATGAGTTTCAAATCCAAAACTGTGCCATGAGTTTTGATATTTGCTAACGTGCTTTATGCTTGACAATATATACAAAATATGGTGACTTCTGCATGCCTGTTTGAAAAGTGATTATGTTCAATCCAAACCGGCGGACAAAATATGATCATTAAATGAAAAAGCCTCCAAAGTAATAAGATCAGAGTTCTAGATGTTAATATTCTACTTATTGCCCTTCTCTTTATCTGGCGGTGAGGTTTTTCATTTGAAAATTATCACCTGCTTCTGTGATTTTGGTGATTTTTTGGCTTTATTCACTCTATTTAACCTTAAGGTTGAAAGAAGTAAAATTCAATTTGTAATGGATTATACTCTAATTACGATTTCAGATTTCAGTAAACACTTGAGCGAAGAGGCATGTTGTCAATTTTGGACTTCTGAGTCTCCATTTTCACAGTTAACGCTATACAGTTCTGTTGTATGGAGAATCCACTGTTTGCTTAATTGTCAATATTTTTGTATGCATTTTCTACTAGTTAGAATTAAGGGTTAGAAAGTTGGTTGAGAGAGTAATTTAATTGGTGTGTTCATATATGTTCTGCACTCTACTACACAACTGCATGGCATAGTTTAACAAAATTTGAATCAGAATACCATCATTTAACTTTTAAAATGTGAAATACACCTTTTCAAGCATAGGTAAGATGACATGCATGTAAAAATTGAAGTTTAGGTGTTAGTTACATAAAAACATCTGTCTTTGATTCAAACGTATTCACAACTTTAATATTATGTAGATAGACTGATTGCTTTTTTCCCCTAGATGAAACCGAGGCTGTGAAGACGGATAGCATCTTGAATATTGAATATGAAATCATGGGTGATAGAGCCGTCGGTGCCCATATACCTGTGAATATAAAACCTGACGGCAAAGGTGAGCTATTGTTTAAGATCGCGCTCGCCTTACAGCGACCGGTGCTTGATCCTTGTCTGGCGGTTGGATTTCTTCCCTTCACTTCTGATTGCCTGAGAGTTGGACAGCTAGTCCTTATGAGATGGAGACTCGAAAGGTTGAAATATCCAGAGGAAACTCCATCATCTTTGGCCAAAGCAAGTTATCCTATATGCTTGTTTTTCTTTTTACCCAATTCGATTCAATTACTTAACCTTTGATCTTTAGATTGCTGACAAGTCTCCATGTGTTTTGTTTGGCAGGATGAGCTATTCTATGAAGTAGATGCTAATCCAGAGAACTGGATGATTGCTGGGAGGAAACGGGGGCATGTATCTTTGGCTTTAACACAAGGTCTGCGATTCATTTCCTCTTTTTTGGTGTATTTTCATACATACCACCCAATTCCTATGTATTTACACTCAAACACCTAAACTTTATATTTATACCACCCAAATCTTTCATATCACATAAAAAATACCACTATTTTAACTCTTAAAAAGTGAAATATACCTTTTCATGCATGCACGGGTAAGGCTGCATGTATATAAAAGTTGATGTTTGGATGTTAGATATGTAATTACAAAAAATTGAGTGGTATGTATGTAAATCAGAGCAATTTCATACCTCCATGGATTTAACTCATTGAAGATGCCTTCTAATAAAACAAATGGATATCTTAGGTTCAAGGGTAGTTATCACAGTGAGTTGCTTGCCTCTTGTCTCTGGTTATGTTCATCCTCCCCAGCTCGGACTTCCTGGTGTCTCTGAATCCAACATAAGCTGCAATCCTGCTGGGCCCCACCTAGTCTGTATATTGCCTCCAACTTTGAGTTCTTCCTTCTGTGTTCCAGCTTGATGTTCTGACCATTACAGAATCCTTAAATCTACTTCGAATTCCTCTTGTCTGCCGGATTAGATCTGGATTCTTCTGGTTCAGTCTTGTTGCGTTTTGTTTCGTAAAAAGCTGTTATGAACTGGAGAAATCTAAGGAAAATAGAGGAAGCAGAGAACATTTGAAATTTTTTTTATGAAATTCAAGAATTTTTGTTTTAGCCCTCCCAATGTAAAGATTGAGAAGATAGAAAGATTGTTCGATTTATGTTTAAGA